ATACTCACTTATAAGTGGATACTCGACCTATAAGATAGGATAAACATACTAAAATCTCTACACCTAAAGAAGCTAAACAAGAAAGAGGACCCCAGCTAAAATGATCAATCCTCACTTAAAAAGACAAATGGGATAGACATTGGAAGTGGGAGAAAACAAGAAACAGGACAGGAGGGCCTCTGAAAGACTCTACCTAGCAGTGTATCAAAGCAGATCCTGAGATTCATAACCAAACCTTGGGCAGAGTGCAGGGAATCCTATGAAAGAAGGGGGAGTTAGTATGACCTGGAGAGGATAGGAGCTCCACAAGGAACTAATATATCTGGGCACCTAGGGTCTTTTCTGAGACTGATTCTCCAACCAAGGACCATGCATGGATATAACCTAGAACCCCTGCTCAGACGTAGCCCATGGCAGCTCAGCAACCAAGTGGGTTTGCCTAGTAAGGGAAACGGGGACTATCTCTGACATGAACTCAATGGCTGGCTCTTTGACCACTCCCACTGTGGGAGAAGCAGCCTTCCTAGGCCACAGAGGACAATGCAGCCAGTCCTGATGAGACTGATAGGCTAGGTTGGATGGAAGGGGAAGTGGACCTCCCCCATCAGTGGACTTGCAGAGAGCCATTGAAGGAGATGAGGAAGGGAGGGTAGGATTGGGAGGGAGTGAGGAAGGGGCCTACAGCTGGGATGCAAAACAAATAAAATGTAATTAATGTAAAAAAATAAAAAAATTAAAAAAAGAAAGGAGATTGAAAAGAAGTATGGAAGACTGAACAGGGTGAAGACAAGTTTTCTTGGGGCAAATGTGGCTATGTAAATCTTGAGTCTATTTGCACGTAGTAGGCAGGAGACCAGTGACAATGAAGGGGCAACTGAGAGAAGAGACTGACCAGCAAGGAACCAAAGGCTCAAAGGATATGGGAAGAAATGGAATCAGGAGTACTAAAGTCAGAGACATGATTCTTGAAGGAGATAGATGTGATCAGAGTTAACGATGAATTTGAAATGGAGGAGTCTAGATTTCTAGATTTCCTTAGCATTGCTGAAGTTATGGAAAAGAGCCAGGGCACATAGCCAGCATGCTGCTGTTGGGATTTGGAGTGCAGAGAAATGCTTTGGTTGGGTTCATCTATGTGGGAACAGAGAAGTAAACAATAAGGACACAGATATGAGTACTTCTAAGCAAAACCAGTATGTCTGACTTGGGGCCTCTAGACACTATAGAAAACGAAATACAGAAGGTAAATGAGTATTCAAATTTGGGTACAAGGAGAACTTCAATACATCCCAAAGTAATAAGAGAAGTGAGATGATGCTTCCAGAAAAAAAAAAAAAGGTATCAGTTCAATTTTGTCAGGCTGTTTTTAGGTAATAGTAATGCACAACAGAAAGTGAGGAGTGTTTCCTGCTTAACCATTTAGCTCATGTTTACTGCTGTCCTGTGGACATGGTCCACAGAGCATGATACTACAAGACAAGTGGGTGACAAGCTCCAGGTTCAACCAAGTGAGAATCCACAGACAGGGCAAAGACCCGCTTAGGAAGTCCAGGAGCAAAAGGAAATCAAAATAAAAGTTAGTATCACTCTTGAATGAACAAAAGAGAGAACCTAATTTTATACTAATAAACAAATAAAACATGGAAGTGTTAGGCAAATTATAACTACTTAATAAGCTGACAAAGTAATCTTAAAAGCTTTGGCAAGATAGAAGAATGGGGAAGACAAAGAAGCAATCAATGTTAAAACAAATTTTGGATTAAAAATCTTTCCTCTATATCAACTTAGAATGTTCTCTTTTGATCATAGATAGATAGATTGAAGACAAATGTTCCATTCAAAGTCTATTGAGCACAAGTCATTAATAAAACACATCTCCTTTTCACATGAACTGTGAAAAGGCTTCAAAATCATGGGAGACACAGACAGACTGCGCGCAAGCAGAACTAGAAATGGGTAGCAAAGCTAGAGCCCAGGAATCTACCCAAGCTTAGACCAGAACACAAGACTTCCTGGAAATTTACTAACTCAGGGCTTTAATAGGGAAATCCCAAAGTCAAGGCATAAGGGAACAGCTTGCCTGATACATTCTCTGCACAAGATAACAGAGTTTTCTAGAAACCAATGTTAAAGAGTTTTTATAAATCAGTTCTTACAGAAGGACTTAAAGCAACCCCCCATTGGTGCTTCTGTGGCAAGCCAAGGGCAGTGAGATTCCAGTAGCCTTTAAAGAAGGTATTGCTGAAAGAAAATCTCAGCTATATTAGTCTTCTACTTTTCAAGACATAATCATCTTCTTTAGCTGTTATTGCTTATTCTAACTTAGGTCTAATCTCATAAAAAGGCACCACGAATATATGAGAATAGACTTCCCTAAGTCTGTTTCTAATTACTTGCAGTTCTGGTAGATGCATTTGGGTGTTTATAATGTGTACAGTATTTCCAAATGATTTTAAACAAGCACTACTCGTTTTTCTCAAACATGACAAAAGCTTTAGAATGTCAGCTCATTATTAACTGTGCCAACCTGGGACCAAAGAGGCCTGGAGAAGCAGAATTCACAAGTACTTAAAATACTCCTTTTTGGCCATTACTTTTTAATTCTTCTCCAAGTCATATCTTAACAGGTCCCTACTTTTATAACTCAGTTTTGAAAAGATGCAATCGTTTTAACATGATACTTACTGATCTTCTGAATGCTTTACTCAAAGCAGAATCTTAAATACTATGATTTGATATACATGACTACACTTATTTAATGACAAGAGAAGGGCCAGAATTGGTGAGCCACCAGGAAGGGTGAGATGTATTTAAGGTCTGAGTCATGTAAGTCTTAAAAGTCTACCATCTTCTCCAACCAACCCTCTCTAAACTCTCTGTCAGACGTGCTGCCAACTATGGTAACCTCCATCCATCAGAACCAAGTGTAAATAAAGCCTTTATGGAAAGGTCAGTATTACCCAAGCATAAATGAAGGAAAGTCACAAGGTGCTAGATGACACTTGGCGCACATGCTCCAAGAATTCCCCTGGCTGCCACTGATCTTGGTGGAACATACCACTGCAAGGATTCATCAATCAAGCTAAGCAACCATTAGAACAAAACTGTATTGTGCAGTAAGAATATCAAATTGCCTTCCTTCTTCTTCTCTCCATCACTCCATTCTTTTTTGTGTAAGAGGGTTTTTAAAAGGGAAAAAAAAAAACAACCCACACATTATTTTCTCAGTGTTGGCATGCTGGACTATTCCACTAAAAACTGGAATTATTGTAAAACAAATATGCACTTTCAAGAGTCTATTTTCCAAGTAAAATAAGTCATGGGCTTAGTGGTGGGTGAAATAAGGGATATTTCAGATTCTTTGAAACATTTTAAAATTATTTTTTAAAAGTTTTGGAAATAATCATCCACATGCTTTTTTTTCCAAATATTTTATCCCTCGAGGATCATGGACATCGGAAGGAAAATCTGATTTCATTTCTTTTTAGTTTATATTTCCTAATCAAAGTAATTTAAAAAGCACTTATGAGAACTTGCAAAGACTTTTTAAAAGGCTTTTCATTTCACGCTTCGTTTAGACAAGAATAAACCCTACAAAAATAATCTCACAGCCCAAAAGCTCATATAAAGTGCTCAACTATCCTTAGTGCACAGGACACACGTGTTGAGGTAATGGGTCAGTACTACTCCAGGAGGGCTAGGATGCAAAATGCCACAACACAGAATGTGGAAGAGGATTTGCAGCAAGCAGAACTCTCGCACCCTGCTGAAGGGAATGCATGCATTTCTGCAATTCAGCAACTCCAGAATGAGGTACTTTCCTCCTAAGAGATATTAAATCATATACTCAAATTCTTGTATAAAAAAATGTTTATAGAAGCTATAGTCATAAAATCACCAACACCGTTACATTTATTTTATGTACATTGGTATTTCACTTGCATGTATGTATATTAGTCACATGTGTGCAGCACCCTCAGAGGCAGAGGTTCTAGGTTATATCCATACATGGTCCATTTCCCAGACAGAGCCAAACAATGTGTTTGCTTTCAGGATAAACGAGTTGCAGTGGTTTAAAAACAGAACTGCTTGTATTTGTTCTGCCACAGAAAGAGGTTGCCTCACCTCTGCTTAACTCTCCCCTGTGTGCGCACATCCAGCTTTCTACCCTCAACATCAGCGGGCATCAGAATCACCCAGAAGGCTTGTTGAAACACAGATGGCTGAGACCCACACTCAGAATTTCTAATCAAGTGAAGTCTGGGGGTAAAGGACCTGCAGTTTGCATGTCACAGATTTCCTGATGATGGCAAGAATGATGAACACTTCAAGGCTTTCTGCTTCAAGCATTCTTCAGTTTTCAGATCAATGATCCATATTTGGGAGGGGGAGGCAGGAAGATCAGTAAGTTTAAGGTCAGCCTCAGTTACAGAGTAGAACCCTAGCTCAATGTGTTTTGTTTTTTTTTTTCAGCATTGGCATACACTAACAACTGGAATTATCATTTAAAAATAAGTACTTTCAAGAATCAACCAAGCAAAATAAGTCATGAGGTTAATAGTAAGTGAAATAAGGAATATTTCAGATTATTTAAAAGAATATACAAACACATACTTAATATATGTTTATATGTATTCATATATACATATATGTATATAGTATGGATGTACATATCTATGTGTATATATATATATATATGTGTGTGTGTGTGTGTATACACATATACACATATGTACTTTTTGCATGATACTGCCCATTTGGTATTTGCTCCTCTCCATTATTCATTTTCTGCACATCCATATGTTTTCTACTCAGATAGAACCTAGTGCTATCAATGGCAGGATTCCTGTCTCAGCTATTTATGTACCCCTCAAACCTAGAACAACTGTATTGCTAATAGGTGATAAGTAAATGCTAAGGTTCCAAGAGCTTGTACATTTTTAAAGCATGTGTCAATACTACCAAAAGCAAGAAAAATAATTTCCATTATGGGGAATTACCTGTCACTGGGACAGTGACTTGGCAGTGTCCAGTCATGGTGCGGATTGATGAGGAAACCCCAGGATAGGAAGACCGAGCTTGGTGTCAATGTACCAACCACCAGCTGGAGAGGTTTGCGAGGGCGAGATTTACCTGTGGAGGCAGAATGCAGGTTAACTCTGGACACAGTACCTTTTGATTGATGTTTTGAGTAAAATGTGTGCATAAAGATGATGGGGGAAAATGATATTCCTTTCCTTTGTTGTTAAGCTTTTATAGTATCAACATATTATTTTTTTGAGTCATTTCTGGGCTTCATGAGTGTTTTTTAAATAATATAATTTTATATAAAATTTTTTAGTTTTATAGTTTTTCACAGAGTCTACAGATTAGTTTTTGTTCATGAATCTAAACATGAATCAAAGAAAATGCTTTATTGATCTTGGGTGTGTGTGTTTATATGTGCATGTATGAAAGTACACGTTTGAATAAGCATACAGATATATCCATACATGTTATATGCATACATACATATATAAACTACATGCAATGAAACATGGCTTTAGCTCTCCTGTGAGTCATATAGTTATGGAGTTGTTGGCTATGATTAATGAAGTAGATACATGGACACACATTTTCATCTCTGTATATGTACACATGCTGCTTGCATCATTTCTTTTCCAGGTAAGTTTAAAATGTGCCTTTTAAACTGAATGAACATCCTCCAAAAAGTAGTAAAATTGTTTAAGAAAGTTATTGTCATATTATTTTTCAAAAAAAAAATCTGCGTTAGGGTATAAACTCCCTTGATGTGATATTCTAACAGACACATGCCTATGGTGAGCACAGAAATAGAAAGGTGAGCAGTTTTTAAATAATGCCAGGAAAGGGGAGCAACACAGAAAGCACAGTTGTTCTGATGGGACTAATCGAATATGGGAAATACCACAAGTTACAGTAATGCAATGCTAGAGTCTTTTTAAGCACATGGGGGTGAGGGTTTGGGGGTAAGCATTGCAATTTTTAAAATTATTGGTAACCACAGAAATGAGAAGAAGACAGGAAAAGGAAGGAGCCTGAGCACAGGTTCAATCAGGGAAATAAAATCAAAATTATAAAAATAAAGTCTCATATAATTACATCCTCACTGAGTTCCCTCTTCACTTCATGAGACTAGGTATATCATGTTTATTATAGGAAGAACTAGTGTTTTCTCCATCTAATAGGCTTGGAACAAGACAGAACAGTGCTTGGGACCTTTACTAAAGTGGGTAACACAGGACACTATAAGTGAGGGCATTGGTGACTATTTCAATCAAATGTTCTTGAAAACCATCACATCTGCTTCTTTAAGCTGTGTGAGTTATGACTCTAGGAAGAATAAAGCCTCTGAGTCTAGAATCTATATACCCTAGTGGTGTAAAAATGCCCCCATTCTAACACAGTTGTCTTAGTAATGGAATACCTTATCTCAATATCTGCATACATTGTATAATGTTCAAAGCAGAGTAAACCTATATCCTTAACCATCTGGCATTTCCTTATGGTGAAGTATCAAACTTTCCCACTTCAAACCTTCAACTTTTAAAAAGAAACAGTAAATTTGTATTACATGTTATTCTATGATTTGAGTAACTATCTCCCCAAAGTCCATTGAGCTAAAGGCTTGGTCCTCATCTCCTGCTGTTACTGGAAGTTACTATAAGAAGTCAGCCAATAATGGGAAGAGCTTAGATCTTTGGGAGGATTCCCTAAAGGGCAATCATGGAACCCCAGTCCCTTCCTCTTTTTCATCCTTTGCATTCTGATGATGAGGTGAGCATGAATGCCTTGCTGCTATGAAGTCCTATCATAACTCTAAAGAATGGGGCCTAGTGATTATGGAATCAAACTTCTAAAATTCTGGGCCATGTTAAACTTTTCCTCATTATGAGGTGATTATCTCAGGTACTTGACATAGTAACAGAACAGTAGAAACATAACCAGGAGAGTTGACCTCTTAATGATGTCTAAACTAATTTATGAAGATCATAATCATTTAATTGGCTGCAAATGTGCATGTACTCGTCTCTATAAACCTTTCCAGGCATCTGTCATCATGGCCTTGCAGATGGTAATTTGAGTTGTCTTCATTTGACCTCCAAATAGGAGAAATGAGAATTTTGACTAAAGGAAGGGGGCAGGCACAGCTTGAAAACAAATACTGAGATTATACTAGCCTAATGAATGTAATACAACAGCATTATTTTTTTTAATGAACAATAAGAGTCATACAAGTTTCAAGGGTGTCCAAAGTTACATAAAACACAAGGTTAAACTTATATTTGGATTTCCTTGAATATTTTCCAACTTTCTTAGAAGGGCATTCTTGGCTCAGCTTATGGTGTATGAAGAGATGAAATGTACCTTAGAGATAAAAAAAAAAACAAAAAAAAAAAAACGTGTATTTATTCTCCAGGGGATCTTAAGCTTATGTGATCAAACAATTCTGTCACTAACTTGATGATCTTAATATGAAAACAGCTAGCTAATTAGAATCCATGTGGCAGACACAAGTGTAAAACAAATGGAAGTCGTTCCATTAGTCATTGTTATCTCTCCCAGACATAGAACACAAAAACAGAAATTTTATCCATTGCCCAAGAGCAAAGGTAGACTATCACATGCCAAGAAAGATGAAACAATTTCCTGAGCTAGGAAGTGAAAATAATCTCCACGGCTAGCATCAGAAACCTCGAAATAAAATGAAGGTAGAAATTATTACTGAGATATAAAAGCCTCAAGACTCTGAATTTCCTTTTAAGTTTTTATTATATTATCAGAGTTACATAAACAAATAGTTCTCTGAATAGCCATCCGAAGACACATTCGACCTTATTCAAAACTTTGAAACACCGTCCTCAGATACTTACTGTTTGTTTAAAGAATAATGCTGTTGTATTACAGTCAACTTAGAAACAGGAAGTAATTTATGTCATATTTCCCCTTCATGTTAAGAGGCCAATAATTTTATGTATTTTTTTTCAAAATGCTTAATCATTCAATGCTACTTGTAAAATAAATAATGGAAGTCAAGGAAAGAGAGAGGGGAGGGTGTTGATTTCTGCTGACCAGCCCTGTGCTGGTACATTGAGTACAAATTCAGAGTAGCCAAGGCTTCCATGCCTTGGGGTTGAAATGTCTAACGCTGCTCCTCCCATCTTATACCTCCAGATAAGCAGAAAAAGCAACTAAAAGATTCTTTTGTGTGTGGCATCCCGGGTTACGCAAAAGACAGAAGTGGTTAGGGGATGACCGAGTGAGAAAAACCCCCTGGTCGATGAAATGAAGGTGGAAAGGAAGATATTCATGCACAGCCTTCACATGTTTTCCTTCAGGGCAATGCTCTGATAAAGTCTTACTAATTAGGCACTGCAAGCTTTTAATCTTTTGTCTTCAGTGATGCCCACCCAACCCCCGTTGCTATGATTAAATACCCCAACAAAAGCAACTCAGAGAACAAAGGGTTTACTTTGGCTCACAACTCAAGGATGATCCCATCACAGCATAGAGGTCAAAGATAGCAGGAACTTGAAATAACTGGTCAGGGCACATCCACAATCAAGCAGAGAGTGATGAGTTCATGCACTGGGCTAGTTTTCTTTCTTTTATATGGTCCAGGACCTAAGCTCCGGGAACTGTTCTGCCCACTGTTAGGATAGCTCTTTACATCTCAATAAACCTAAGGGACATAATTTCACAGATGTGCCAAGAGGTATGTTTCCAAGGTGATTTCAGCTCCTGTCAACCTGGCCAACAGTGCTACAATGATGCAGAAGTTTTACTCTTAATCATTTGTATGTTATCCATTTTCTGTCGCTAGCCTTCCTGTTCTGAGAGAAGTCCAGAAAGAAGAGACGTGGAGTAAATAAAACCAAAGCACCAATCTCTTTACTATTTACACAAATGAGTTATCCTTTTCAAGCAAAAAGATGTTTTCCTTAAGCCAAAGTTAGACCATAAAGCTTTGTCCTTAAAATCAGAAAGGCCAAGAGTGGGTAAGAGGTCACCCTTTACAGAATAGCAACGGGCTAGCAGGAACTAGCCCCAAATGACCCTGACCACAAGCCAGAAGCTGCATTAACTCACTTACTCCTCACAACAACCAAGGTGAAGAGGGTGTGTTAACCGTCCAAACCTCAGCTTAGACGGTCACAAGTGGCAGTGCCAGCTTGTGCTGAGAGACTAGGCCGTGCTACTCCTCCCACAGGGGCAGCTCAGGCTCAGGACTGATATCATCTGCACCTGCATGGCTGAGACGTTCCCACAGCATTTTGTCTCTGGCGTGTAGCAAGAGATGAAGTTGCATGGTGCAAAGTTAACAACAGCAACAAAAAAAAGTGCAAGGACTGTACCTGAACACGACTTCTTCTGGCTGGGAGGCGGAGCAGGTCTCACGACTATCAGATACTTCGGCTCTGCATCTGAAACAACAGCATCATCTTTCAGCAAAATCCTCTCAGAATCAGCATGGGAGTTGGCACACTCATGCCGCGAACGAACGTTTCTTGGTGTTAGACTCTCTGTGACCCAGGTACTGGCGAATGACAAGACTCACAAACTGGAAAATGAAGACTTCCTCAAAAGCCCATTAAGTTTTAGAAATGAAAATTAGATCCGTATTTTCAAACCGAAATGGGTATGGGTGGGAAAGAGGTCTTTGAAGAGAACATGCTATATAGACCCTTCTTTTTAAGTAAAATGGTCTTATTCTTATTAACTCACAAATAAAAATGTCACACAGCTACTTTAAGGAAACCACTCAAAGTACCTGCCCAGTCGCAAAATGTATTCATCTCAGTGAATATCTATCGAGTTAGAATGACCATCCTGAAGCTACACAACTTTACTTAAGGTTTCACACTTTCACTATCAACTACACTATATATATTTATCCATCACTAAAAATGACAAAATTAAAAAAAAAAAACGAGAGTTGAAACTAGAAAAAATAGCTTTCAATCCTCTTTCATAACTCATGTGTGTGTACTTTTGCCTGCATTCCTTCCTTCCATGTTACCTGCTGCTGGCCTCTTGAAAGCCATTCTAAATTTCATAGTATACCTACACACTCATTTACACACACACACACCTGCATGTATGTATATCTATGTATGTACGGGCTTCCCTAGGGCCCTCAGAGGCCCAAAGAGGGCATCAGATCTCCTGAAACAGTACTTATAGATGGTTGTGAACTGCCTCATGAGTGCTGGGAACCAAAGCCTGGTCCTCTGTGAGAGCAGCAAGTTCTCTTAACCTCTGAGTCATCCCACCAACCAGATATAATTTTTAACATATTTATTAACTCTTTGAAATTTTAAACATGTATACAGCTTATTTTAATAATATTTAGTCCCTACTTCTTTTCCCAGCACCTCCTGGATCCAGTCTATTCCCATTCCCAATTTCATGTTTTGTTTTGTTTTAATACTTCACTGAGTCCTGTTTTGCTGCCCTGTAATACATGAGTACTGGGCCATCCAGTACTCATCCAGTACTGGAGCTTATCATTGACATATAGGAGACAATACTTAAAAATATTTATGTCTTAAGTAAAACAATGTTAAAGGCCATAATACACTATATTTAATCTTAGCTGAAAGGCTGAGAAGTGACGTTAAAGCTAAGAAATCAATGTGTGTTTAATAAGGTGTGGGCAATTTATGAAATAGCTGTTTTAAAAACTAACATATCCAAAATGGCTGATTGGATACACACACACACACACACACACACACACACACACACACACACACACACACAAATGAAATACATCTAAGACCTGTAAAGTAGCATTCTTTGAGCAATTCTATTAGACTCCCTGGCTGATGAGTTATTACTCCAGTATTTCTTGAGGAGCTTTGGAACCTGAGACTTCTTAGTCACCAAGTTTGACTGGGCTGCTGCCAAGTAACCAGAGTTCAGCACTATTTGCTCAGGTAGGCCTTTAGTCTTATTTTTAATGTGTATTTCCATTTCCTCTTGTGGGTATGGAAGAGGCTTCTTGCCCAGGGTTTTATGGAGCCTTCATTTCCAGTTGGAGACTGGCTGGCATCTCACCATTTGCTGTAATCTGCCATATTAGTTACTGAGGAACCCAGGAAACCACTGGAACTCACCTCTGGTTCTGTTGCATAGGTACCTCAGGACCAGCACATAGATAAGGGGTGTTCAAGCTTTTCACAGCCCCATGGGTTTGAAAGTATATCTTATTTGAAACTCACATAAGCTCTCAACCCAAATTCAGTAACAGGAATACAGTCACCACTGGGTGAGCTTATCAGGGATGTAGAACAATGCAGGTATTAATAAACTACAGTACAATGCTTGCTTCCTGTGAGCAGAAAACTGGGCTAATAATGTTATAAACTAATGACAAGCCATGCTAATCCTACACATCCTGGGTAGTTACCAATAGTGAGATCACTGAGAAAGTGTCAGCTTCACAGGCATGGAACATACATACAGTTACATCCTTCACGGGACCCCATGTCCAGTTTTAGGCCCTATCGCCATTTTGAAATTCTTTTTCTTTTAACTTCTTCTATGTGTGTATGTAGGTGTGTGCATACAAATGTGTGTGGAGGTCAGAGGACAACTTGTGGAAGTCAGTTCTCTCCATCATCTGGGCTCCAGGGATCAAACTTGGGTCACAGGGCTTGGGGAAAATCACATTACCCTCGGAGCCTCACCAACCCAGTGAAAACATTAACATTTTGCTCTTTGGAACTTTTTAAGTTTTGTAAAATTAAGTCTCATGGGACATTGGAGAATGGATGAGAGCAAATGGAGCCAGAAATAACAACACTTGCCCATGGGTTTCTGCCTCCCTCTTCACATAAGGTATTCCAAGGACAGTAAGCTCCAGGTTCAGCAAGACCCTGTCTCGAGCACAAAGGAGGAAAGTAGCAGAAGATACTAGAAGTAGAGCTCTGGCTTCCACATGAACATGCACAGGCCAGCACAGGTACACACATACGTGGACATATACTACACAACAGAAGAGGGCGATCACGTCTTATCTCTGACTAAGAAAGAGGGGGTGGAGAAAGTCACAGAAGGCTCCAAAACGCCACACTGCCCACTCAAGCCAGACTTGCTTTGGTGAGAAATGAGGTGTTGGTGTTTTAAGAAACATAAGCAGCAAGAAACATCTTTGTGTCCATTTTTTGCTGAGTTAGTCAACATGGAAGAAGAGGGAAAGACAGGACAATTCAATGCCCTTTTGGTTCTCCCTCATTTATAAGTTAAAAAGAATTGCCTGCTGGATATGCATGCCTATGTCAAAGGTGAGATAAAAAAGTTGGGACCTTTTGTGCAGCTTTTCCGTAATTCATGCTTAGGAAATCCTATGCATGTAGGGACTGTAAAAATGCAGAATGTGCACTTCCAGCATCGCTGCTCAGAGTTAAGAGCTCTCGAGTCCACACTGAAAATAGGCATTGTGTATTATCAAGGTCAAACGTCCAAGTCCTATAGTTGATAGTTTTCATTTCTGAAAATTACATTAATTAGCAAAATCATGGTAAAGACTGTGAGAGGAAGAGGTTTACTCTTTAATGACAATCCTGGTTTTTGAAACAAGAGCTCTTGATGTTAGCTTTGTAGCTGGCCCTATAATTATGTAAATGTCTTAACTTAGTCTTCAAAATGCCCCTTTAATAAGTCTCAAAAATGTACTTCTAGAAAACAAAGTTCAACTGTGAGTTTTACTAAATTGCTCAGTATGGTAGAGTTCCTTAGAGCTAACTTTTAATTACTTCCTTAAAACAGACTAATTTAATTATGCTTTAGTGGCTTTTTGAAAAGGACTTGCACTACCAAAGCAATGCAGATGCCAAAGACAGTGCCCAGGATCCAACATGGTCATAGGAACAATTGAAAACTCTGTTTTTGTTAAGCTCACAGTCATTTTGCCTAGCCTGTGGCAGTAGGTCAAAACCGGGAACAGAAGTGGGACCCTGGGTGTGTGTATTCATTCTTAAATACTCCCCACGTGCAGTATTTCAGCAATTTTCATACTCTATTGGGGATACACACATGGAAAAATAGGGCAACCAAAAGTAAGATTTCTATTCCATTTTACACTATGATATTCTTTTGGATTTGTAGCAGATGTGCTACCAAAGTAATTATTTCATTATTTAAGGAATATATGCAATTAAAATCTCAATGCAAGAAAATTTATGTAGGAAGCAGTTACTTTAAATTTGTAATTCTGGTGCCTAAGTCTACATACTGATACAGCCCAGTTAAATTTAATTTGCTTAATATTGAAAAGGCCCTAGAGTAGGGGATAAGAAAGTTTACTGCTAAATGAAATATAATATTAGAGTCATTTATAGATATATACTATTATATTTTAGTCAAGGATATCTTCCTACTATAATTGCCCCACTAACTCTCAAAATTTAGAGGTTTCTATTAGAAATTTCCTCAAGAAAATTATACATCACACTCATTCATAGATATCACTGTAAAAAGTCTACAAAATATGTTGTCAAACAGAAGCTGATGATACATTCTAGTTAGGTGTAGTTTCTTACAGTGAACAAACATAAGGTGGGTTTGTAAGACCATATCCGTAGTTCCTGAAAACACAATGACAAGATCCAAAGCCCATCTTGGGGAATGCACTGATGGAACATTTGTCTAGCATTTGAGGGCACTTGATGCCCCTTTGGACCAATGCTCAGTTATACAGTGGCAAAGTCCCATGGTAGGCAAGTGTACAAGAGGAAGACTGGCCAGAAGTGTTAGTGTGCTAACTCCACAACGGTCACTAAGTTATGCACACAATCTAGTAATTTTAATACATCATTTAGATTACTAGCTTTTTGTTAGTGGTACAGAAAAAGAATGCCTATAGAACTGGAATTATCAGAAACTAAATGAGTACATCTTTTAGAATATTTCCAAGTCTCTACACAAAGACTTGGTGAACTGAGCTCAGGCTAGACCTAGCTACACTTTGCATTCAGGCTTTGTTTATTTATGCATCTTTAAGCATGAGAAACAGCAATTATCCATTAGCACATTCTGAAAGAAGGAATAAATTGAGCTTTGCAGGAAGAACGGAGAAACCATTAGGGACCGGGAGCTGACATAGTGTGTAAACACAAACCACATTTTTGGAAAACCTTATCATTTTCAACCAGAGAATTAATGCATTTATTATTTTCAGAACTGTTTCTCTTACTTAACAAAATTATTTATACGAAGCATTTGTTTTAGTGCAGGATCAATAAGCTTTTTCTTTTCCTGCCTGAAAAACAAATGGAGACAATTTGAAAACAAACCTTGTGGTATTTGGTAAGTATTTCTGTCAAATATTACAAAATCGTTTAAATGATGAACTTGTGCCCAGTCTGACAGAACACACTGCTGTACCCCTTGGTTCAAAGAAAATTCTGGCTTCCTCAGC